ATAATGTATGTTAGTACCAAAAGGGTATGAAACATCACACTGCATCATACCTGTAGCAATACATGTAAGTGTCAAAGAGGATTTAACCATTCAGATAATAATATGTGATGTTGTCAATGGATAAAAGAAATTGATTTCTTCCTGCTAACTACTTATATTATTAATGTGCCTAATTCTAATATTAAGGCAATCAAGATAGAACATTCTGACAATCAATACAGTCCAAGCTATACACTGCCATTGCTTGGGAATAATGGAATGGGATTAACTTCTAGTAAATGTTCAAATGGGACATTGCGTTTTTTTTAAAACTACTATCAGTTCTTCACGTTTAAGGTGCGCTCTCGCTCCTGCTCCCCTCGTACACCTTGACTTTCCTTCGCAGGAGTCATTAAAGACTCCTGCAAATCATGTTCCTGAAGCAACGACTGCGAGTTTTACAACATCTGGGCGTTGCTAGATTACTTCACTATTCCCGGACTTACATGTATAGCTATGCTATCTACAGACATGTGAACAGTAGCATCCAATCAGAGGTTGTGACATAACGACCTCCACAGAAACCTCGACATGCAAAATCATACATGTACATGTAAGTCAAAGTTGGTGAATTTTCCTTATTGTAAATCTCTGATTCTCTATGAAATGACCAATTAGTTTCATTCAGGGTAAGCCAGCTTTCTCCATTTCTTCAACAAAACAAATCATTTGCCCGCTTTTGTTGGTAGCAGCAGTAAACCTGCTCAAGTAAAACTAGTCTCTTTGATAAGGCTTGGTATCCAATCCAAGGTGGCCATGTCTGAGACCGCAGAAAGTTGCCATAGAATGTGGTAAATATATTGGATATGAGCAAGAAAATGACTTTACACGTTTGAAAGGGTGTTCTAAGGACATTAAGGCCCACCCTTTTAGCCCATTACATAGCAATAAATGATGTGAGAACCGAATGGAAGCCGATTTCTTGACGAAATGGACTTTTTGATAACCAGGTCTTCATAGCCAATCTTATCTCTTAAAGATACATTATGGGAGATTCAAAACGAGTTGACAGTTCTCACTATAATAGTTAAAAACTAGATGATGTAAAGGCAATTTGCTGAAAATTTCATTCAAATTGATCCACTATGAACCGAGAACTAAGTGATTGAAATTTCCGCCTAGCCTCGATCATCATTACTAAAGTCAGTACGATAAACAGCATAGTCTTGATTATCCACTTAATCGTTAAATCGTGAAGGAAAGTTATGCAACAATGCCATCTAGAGTTGATTATGGTCTGGATAGGTTAATTAATGTCTAATTAATAATTTAGATAACATTTCAGGCCTAAAGAAAGACCTGCAATAGACAGATTTAGCTCTTGCATAATGTATGTTTAAGTTATCAACTATATGATTCCACATACAATTTTTTGTCATTTTTGGAATGCAGCCTTTTGCTCATGTAAAGTAAATTTGCATGAGCAAATTTATCCACTCGCCATAATAGTGCAAGGTCAGTTTTGTGTGAGTGCTTAATTGCTCGCCATCATTTTCTTTGTGGCAAGCTCTGACCCCTATATTTCTAGTTCCCAGTTAAAAATTACATAAAACATGTAAGCTTATAAAACTTACAAAACACACACATTTATTATAGAAAATTGCATGAGTAAGCTCAATAATATAATTGCATACCAATACATGATCAATCAAACATTTGGAAAACAGTTCTGTCTGGATCTATTTTCTTTCTTTTTTGTTAGTTTTTATTTTGAGGTTTAAAAACTATTCACTGATTCATAATAATCATCGTTTTTTTTTTTGTTTCTGTTATTCATATTCAATCAAGAGGAGATTTTACAAAGAGGGCTAAGGATCGCTATGCGTGCCAAACAACCATTTTATCATTGGTTAGAATTGTCTAAACACTAGAAAATTTATTAAAGATACATTAGTTAACAGTTTTATAAAGAGTTGGCCATTCTTGCTATAATAATTCAAAAATAGATGATAAAAAAAGAAAATGTTGGAAATTACAGTGTTCTGAACAGAACTGTCACCGTTGGAAGTTTGGACTAGAAATTGGGTTTCAATTGTGTCTGTGCCGTCTATGAGAATTGGCGATCGTTTGATTGACAGACGATAACTCCACCAACATATTCTCGATTATCAAGTAACATGCTCAATGGCTATGATAGCCTCGCTTGGCAGGCCTTTTTTCATCACCAGTTTCCGGTAGTGACATAACCCACTAACGGTAAACATTACCTTGGTCCGCCATTTATTGATTTAATTTTAAATGGACGACTGTTTAAATCCAAACTGTATCCAAGCCAATGCCATCCGTGGGTCTACAGAGTTGATTTTGAGCTGTCGTGTAAATAAAGGTCTAATTAATAAATAAAGACTTGTAATAGGAAGATTTAGCTCTTGCATAATGTATGTTTAACTATTGGCTAACCGTAACAGTATGCATGCACTAAGGCAAACAATCTTATATGTATTTGCATATTGCATACTACATGAATACAGCATTATTGGCGGGAATTATTTTAAGATTGATAACCTGTTACTTTTTCCTTTCTTCAAACAGCACTGGTCATTTGTAATAAATCACGGGAAGTTAACATCTTTAAATTGCTGCTGAATGTTTTGTAATTATATTAGCACTTGCTGCTAAGCATGAGAGCCATGACTGATTGACAAATTAATTGTTTTACAGTATTTATTCACCTCGTCAATCCATAAACAAAGTCTCAAAAGGAAACAAAAAAGTTTGACATGATTAAATAATATTAAAGGAGCTAAATCGCTATTCTTTGGCACCTAGAAATGGACAAAAATGCTGAAATGTAATATGATAATAATGTAATATGATTTACATTCAATCGTGTCTGTTTTACTGTAATTTCTAATCAGTTACATGTATGTCCGGCAAAATATGTGAAGGGTCCAAATTGAATGGCAGTCTTTGGTGCCTGGTTATTCCAGTCTACACTGGTTGTATTCTCCTACATGGGATAAGTTTAGCCTCGTTCATCGAGTCCCTTCATACAAATGGCACTTGAAAGCATTCTGGCACGCTATTCATGTGCCAATGTTAAAATTTTCATTTTGTCTTATTATAAAATAATGGTAAGACTTTGGATGATATTGAGTTAGAACCAGGGAGTGGGTCCTGTGGTGTTACAAAATCTTGGTCCAGGGAGAGGAAGCGACATCGATCAAGCTCTCAGACCCCACGTCATACCACATTTCGCACGTCATCCAAACAACGTTTTCCAGCACGACAATGCCCGTGCCCACACCGCCAGAGTTACTAGGGACTTTCTACAGCAGAACGGTGTCAACGTCGTACCCAGAACAAACACAGCGGATGGATTGTGCCAGGTTTTTCTGAGAGTGTGGTTCCAGGTGCCAATGGCATTTAGTAACGTCGTACCCAGAACAAACACAGCGGATGGATTGTGCCAGGTTTTTCTGAGAGTGTGGTTCCAGGTGCCAATGGCATTAATCAATCGTCTGGTCCACTCCATGTACAGACGCTGTGCTACTGTTATTGACGATCAATGTTTTAGCGTCAATTTTCATTCAGATCAAAAACTTTGAGATGAAAGCATCTCTGGCAATAGCACACGGTCTATTTAATTGACGATCCGTCAATAAATATCAAAAGAACTTTGATCCGTCAATTAATTAATTAAATTAAATTATATCAATTAATTCGCCGTCAATGTCCTCCATACATGTTCAATTTCTCCGTCAATTAATTGACGTCAATCAATTGACAAAATTTTTTTAACGTGTATGGACCGCATTAGTCTTGAATATACCAGTGCCCTGGTTACCACAATGCACACATCTTGTCAAAACTACAAACAGAGATAACTTAGCTCAGAATGAAGTAATTTGAATGAAATTTTCAATATTTTCATTTTACATTATCATCATCTATTTTTGGGCTATTAAAGCAAGAATGCCAGAATGGTCAGCTCTTTACCTAAATCTTACATAATGAGTTAATGACTCATGCTGGCATTACACAAAGGTTTCTCTGGGTTTTATTCCTGATTGTTTTCAAATTTGAGTGAAGTCTGTGTCACTACAGGCCCGGGACTGTACAGTAACAGCACAGTGGACGCTTACGGCTAGCCCCCGGATCCATTCACTTTATTTGAATTGTGCGTTTGTTTGCGATTTCTGCGTAATATGTTTTGTCCATATATTTGTTTTTGTGTAAATTATGTGTGGTGCAGTCCCCCTAGTTACTATACTTGTAACGTTACACTGTGTGTTTAACGTTACAATTGATACAGTCTAAGAATCCTTACGCAAGTTCAAATAGGTTCAAACGCACGTCAACACATATCATTACAGTTTGTATTGGAATAAGTAATTCTATGACAAATAGTGAAGACTGGACCACTAAAATAGTTACCGAACAGTTTTCTTTGTGGTTATGCGTTCTACATTTGCATAGCGATGTTTCTTGTAATGACGTTTTACACAAGCCGCCATGACACCAGCCAGTTGAAATTTCGCGTAGCAGTTGGGTTTCATCAAATCATATAATTATGCGGTAAGGCTTCACCTTTATTTCAATAGGAATTGATTTATTATATGTTAAGCAGAAGCTAGGTGCAGCACTGTTTTGGGTCAGTTTATGTGTAAATTAAGGGAGCTATAGGCCAGTAACCTTTTTGTATTGATTTCACTAAAAAAACTCTGTAGGACGAGCCACTGCTGTGGCTGGAGTAAGGCGGAAGACATCAGTAGTGGAACCATTTCTACAGTCCCCCCTGCACTTTCTATTTAAAGTGCCTCTCGTCTCTGATTTTGAAATCCTGACGATCGTTTCTTTTGCTGTTTTAGTGTTTAGTCTATAATATAATTCATAAATATGTGATTCTAATCAATCTAATCAAGCTTTCTACTCTCTAGATAGCTTATTCAAACCGAAACTAAATCGTTTAAACATCATATTGTTCAATTACCAGCTTAAGCAATGAGATTAATCTTTACCTTCCAATTTCGTCGCCTACATCGTAGTTATTTTCGAAGGTGTCTTGGTTAAATTCCATATTCCTGGCGATTTTTCAATGCAACAAACATACATAAAATTCATTCTGTAAATCGTGATAATCCCGTTTCAAATCATATGATAGCATAACGTAGCGTGTTGTATATCACACAGTTTTTTATAAGCGAAAACTGAAGTGTCAAAGTTTTTCACGCCTTCAATACTTCAAAATAAGCTACTTGCTTAGTGGTGAACACACTACTTCATTGATGTTTATCATCTGCTCTTAACTTTGCTTTAGATACAGGCGAGCTCTGATTGGTTAAAATTCGTATGTAGTAAATAATAACAAAATTTTTTTTTAACTATTCTCAAATCTGATAGATAATTATGATAACAAATTATCGTTACAATCCGAGCATTAGCGCTTCATTAACAAACAAATATTAATAATAAACACATTGCTGAATCAAAAATAGTTACTTCCGGGTTAGATCTAATTGATAAGGCCAACCATAGAAATATATTTCTATGAGGCCAACAACAAGTTTGGTCAAAGCTCACGAGATGTAAACAGGGCTAGTGTTAATCCCAACCCTAACCCTAACCCTGGATCTGGCAATAACGCTTACAAAAACCTACAATCTCGCCAACAATCATGTGCCATAACCTTATTTATATCTCAGCGACCTTGACAAAAATTTAGTTGGCCTTAATAAATAGAACTAGCCTACTTCCGTTTATTTTCTCAAATATATTTTAGACTTAATAAAATAATGAAACGAAATATGAATAATTTTAGCTAGGATAATAACAATCTGTGCCATTATTTCTGACAAAACTTCAAACAGTGATAACGTCACTCAGAATAAAATCATTTAATTGAAATTTTCAATATATACATGTTGAATTACGTTATTTTGAACTAGCATAACAGGAAAATAGGTCTAATGCATCTTCAATTTTTACTGTTTCTGGACCACAACTTGTTTAATGTACCTGTTAAAAATGAAATGGTTTTAGAAAGACAAAAAATATGATTTTTAACATTACACTGTCATTTAGGCTTACTGCACATTTTGTCAATCGTCTTCATTTGCGACTTTTGGTTACATTCCGTTTCGGAGTTTATTCGATTCATAAATTTGGAGGCTCCCTATCAAATCAACATGGCCGAATTTTACAGTCCATTTGTATATTGGGGACAAACAAAAGAATATGTCTCATTGCGGGTTGATTTAAGGGTCGTTACGGTATTTGCATATAATTCATTATTTGTATATAGATTGTTAGGTCAGAATTTGCTGTGTATCATACATACTGATCACAAAGAATTGAGTCTTTTTTGCAAGACAAGCGGCGACGATTAGATCATGAACTGAAAACAAAATTTGTAAGATTTGTATTGTATGGAACATCCATTGAGGACAGCATACAATATAAACATGTACATATATTTATAACAATATGACAAATGATATTTACAAATAAGACAACGGTAATTTTAATCTAGCTTATATATACATTTACTAACAGGACAATAGTATGTACATACATGTATATTATACACACATTTACCGCAAACAGGTTGGATAATGAGGGAGCAGATCGTTTCATCCCACGACCTTTTCACCCCGGGCTGTTTCATCCCAAATTCACATGGGTCATTTCATCCCACTTATATCGGGTTGTTTCATCCCACAAATTAAAAAACAGGTATTACGTATTTATGATATTTTATTCATACATTAATAACTATAACAATATGGCAAGGTACTTTTAATAATAAGAGATATGCATAAAGTTACCATATATAAGAGATTAAAATATGCATAAATAAATTGCTACTATATTTATTATTTATTTATTAACCTACCTCTACATAATTCTGAAGTCCTTCTCGTCATCATGACGAAGCATAGCGGCACCTGTTTCATGCAGTCTCCCTTACTCAAATGTGTATTATACAACTCAACCCTCACCGCATGTTTTTATTACTAATCCATAATAAATAATTAATTACGTGTTTATTTAATAATAAATAATAAAGTACGTGTTTATTTAACAATAAGTAAGTGTTTAACAGTTTATTTAACAATAAGTACAACTCAGTTAAATTAACTGCTATTCTAATAACAAGGGGGATGCAACAGCCCGTAATGAAACAGCCCGATAAAAAAAATAGGTTGGGATGAAACAGCTCGCAGGGAAACGGTCGTGGGATGAACTGACCCGCATCCGGATAATGGCACAGCATTCAATACAATTATGATGCATGGGTATAAATATTATAAATACATAAATAACAAGAAGACTTAGTATAGGTATTGACATGGAAATATGATATAGGAATGCTAGAATAATGATATGAATTAAGCAATAAAATATGGAATGAAATATATTAATTCATGGAAATCTGTAATAATTCTGATACAAAAAGTTACACATTTTATGTTCTTAGATTCATTGCATGAAATACAAATGCAAGATCGAATGGTTCTAATAATATAGAGCGAAACTTCCGGTAACACAGGAGCGTAAATAAAATTATCACTCACAGACTGTTGATTAAAAAAAATTCAGAACGGAACCGGATGCACTGGGCAAAACTGGGAATGCACATGTCCACTCTCCAAATCTCGATGAAGTGAGATTAAACATCTCATAGAAATTCTATGATGCGTCTAATCAAAGCCGTCACATATTTTTGATGTCAATGAAAATAATTCTCACACTTTTTTATTCTTTTTTTTAAAAAAAAAAATTAATTATACAATTTAGATCTAAATTAAAATAAATTCGGAAAAACGAAATTATTTAACATTATCTATTTTGTATCACTTAAGAAACTTAATAATGAAGGTTTTATATTTAACAGCAATCACATCAGCTTCGCTCTACTCAGGCAGTGCCTGTTACATATTCTAATCCGCTGTCAATGCCTTCATCTTTGGCAAGTGTTAGATTCACTATTGTTTTAAAGTTTCAACACAAGTCTTACTGGATCGAAAGGCATTTTATGTGTTCAGTTGCGATTTGTTAACAAACACTTAAACAACCTATCAATTACTGAGTAACAAAATACATGTAAATCAACCAGAGCAATAAACATCTTTAAGTGATAAAACGTTTTCACCTAGGTGAGAACTAAAAAAACAAACCTAAAACTAAAAAACAAAACCCAAAACTAAAAAATATTTAAAAGTCGTATATGGGCCACCGTACATATATGGTCAGTAGTATTCCAGCCTGTCCTCAAAATTTTATTAACTGTACATTACAATGTAAATTTGTAATAATTTAATTTATTCACAACCATTTCAGGATGAAATAGTTAATATTACAGAAGACAAATTCAAGTTTGAAGCTGTTGCAGTTGGTGTAAAGGGAAAAAATAAATATGTTATTGACATTGACTTATATCTACCTATTGACACCAAGGTAATTGATATCCGTAAATATATTCCTTTATGAATTTGTATTAAACACATAGTGCTTTATTAGAACGCTGATATTTCCTTTACATGTACATACAAATTTGTATAAAAAAACATGATGCTTTATTATAACGCTGATGTTATCTATTATGTCTGTTATATTGATAATGGGAGCTGTGGTGACTCAGTGAGTAAGATGTTGGTTCGCTAATCGGGAGGTCCTGTGTTTGATCCCAGTGTTGGCTGAGAAATTTCATCATGATTTTCCAGTGTGGTTCCCCCTTGTCAGTGTGTCTGTATTATATTGATAAGGGGAGCTGTGGTATCTCAGTGAGTAAGACGATGCTTTATTATAACGCTGATGTTATTTACTATGTCTGTTATATTGATAATGGGAGCTGTGGTGGCTCAGTGAGTAAGACGTTGGTTCGCCAACCGGGAGGTCCCGTGTTTGATCCAAGTGTTAGCTGAGAAATTTCATCATGATTTTCCAGTGTGATTCCCCCTTGTCAGTGTGTCTGTTATATTGATAAGGGGAGCTGTGGTGGCTCAGTGAGTAAGACGTTGGTCGGCTGAGAAATTTCATCAGGATTTTCCAGTGTGGTTCCCCCTTGTCAGTGGTGCAGGATGAAGCGTCTGGCAAGGGACAGCATATAGTCATTCAGATGGGAGGAAAATCTGAGGTCCTATGTACACATTGGCATACACATAAAAGAACCCTTGATAGTTGGAATTCGATATAAAAGTAGGCTGTAGCAATGCTGTCCGGGCAAAATTTCCTGAATAGCACACTGCATGGTGTATGTATGCCCTTCTTCGTTAACCCGGTAGGAGCAGAACTGTAGACCATAAAACCTCATTTCATTTGTTATATTGATACCCTTATAAGTTATGTCACTATACCGGACTTCACTATAACCCATTTTCAAGCCATGCTGTAAACAGAAATCTGAGCTGTAGTTATTATTATTGTCATATCATTATCTTTTGCTTAAGTCATCAGTTACGGAGTAGTTAAATCTAATTGTTATTTTATTTGTAGAAGAGTAAATATAAGGTGACTGAAAAGGCTGTAGAGGTTCAATTATGGAAAAATGGTGTGGGAGAGATATGGCCAAGACTGACAGAAAAAACAATCAAATTACATTGGCTTAAAATAGATTTTGATAAATTTCATCTTGAAGATGACTCTGAAGATGAAAGGGTCTGTATAATGACATTGAGACATTTCTTAAAATAATTTATTTGGAAGAAAATCTGGAACAAATCTTTTTGAGAGTTTTGATAGGATACAGGGGCAACTGGTAACTATCTATCTCCTGCTGTTGTCTGTGTAAGAGATGTATCAATATATGGCAAATTATTAGTAACATTAATATAATAACCATAAATCTTTCTGTGCTGAAAATGTGGGAGAGAATTATTGAAGGAAATATAACTATAAATGATATTTATTTAGTGTTGTTTTCTTTATTATTTAGAACAACGAAACAGGGGTAATGGAAGACTTTGACAAAAACTTTTTATATGATAAAGATAAACGTAAGTGTGTCAATATTACTATTTACTTTATATTCTAGTTTATTAATTTGTGACATATTAAACATTCTTAACAGAAATACCAGTTATTTTTTTTAATAATAAATATTTCATAACCAAACAATAATGATTTTCTTTGTCATAATTCTTCCTATTTTCTTTGCAGATCCAATGAATTTCAAGTTAACCTACACTTTCTTATACAACTTATTTCAATTTCTTGGCTTTTTCTATATATTCATTAGATTACAGTATAAGTTTATACAAAATGGTGAAGGTAATCATTTTGATTTATTTCTGACAATTTAGTGTATTAAAAAGGTTACTATGAAACATGAAATAAACATCCTGATAAAAATTCAAATGTAGTCAAACAGGAGAAGACAAGAATAGAAGTTACTTCCCTTGAATAATATGACAGTTCTAATAAATGTTGTTTAACTTGAATATTTTTATAAATATATTGAATTAACAGATGCCAAAACAACAGCATTTGAAGATGTTGGTAACCAGGTGATGTTGTGTCAAATGGTAGCGATATTGGAAGTGGTACATCCAATGATAGGTCTTGTGAAAACTGGTTGGGTAGCACCATTTGCACAGGTATTTAAAGGAGCTAGAACTCTTTGACTTTGATGATCAATATAAAGTAGTAGATCACAATAAGTCTGTTTCTAAAAGGTAGAATGTTCAAACTTGGTGTAGATGTTAGTTAGGTGAATGTCTGAGTTCGATGAGGAGCATTTTCATTTTCTACTTAGGTTATCTATGCTTTGGAACACTGTAACTAAGTTTGATTTGATAATAAGCATTTACTGCACAGGTTAAGAAGAGCGGCAATAAATTCGGTTGCTTTATTAAAAGATAAATTGATGAGTGTCATCTATTTTGGTATTGTTATTAATCTATATAAAGTATACTTTATTTTGGAGGATATGTTTTAAAGGTATTTGGTCGAAATCTGATCTTATTTCTTCTGGTATTACAAGAGCCATTGATACAAATAGCTCCAGTTGTATGGTATTTATTTGTTGTATGGAGTTTTATAGAATTAGTTAGGTATGTATGTTCATATATTAGAATATGATTTAATTTGTTTTAAATTATAATTGGTGTGCTAATGTTATTCAAGGGACATAATGCCAAACGGTTAAAAAATTATTGAACCGGTTAACTGGTGGTGAAAAATCCAACCGCAACCGGTTAAACAATAAAAAATTTCTATTAAAATATCTGTTGCATCACAGGAAGACTTGATAATATTTTTTTAAATTATTAGTATTACAGCTTTTAAGTTAACAGTCAGTACAAATTCCATTCATTCATTCATTCATTCTTGATGTTTCATTTCTCCATCTTGCACGGTAGCTTCCCTAATACTTTGTAAGATTAGTTATGACATAAATATTTGAAAGCATACCGTTGGGTTTTTTAATACAAACTAAGTTGGATTATTTAACATCAGTTAATTCCAAAGAATTCACTACACATATTTCTATCACACGCTGTGCTGTATTGTATGGTACCAGTGACCCGTATGTAGTCAACATCGGTATATATATGCCAAATTGAGGACAGCGTTTAAAACAATATTTCGATGAAATGATTCACAATTTTAGAATATAAATTCAATTCTTTATCCATATTTGCTACACTATATCCCCTCCGACTGTTTTTGAGAATGAGAATATTTCTTCTATAAGAGAGGACACACAAAGATGATTTTGCGCATGTCACACATGACTCACGCTCGGAAACCGAGGACCCTTTATCAACACCGTCTATTGAGGACACACACTTGCATTAAATGTCGGCCCCTCATCGAGGACCTTTTGTTTTAAGCATGTAATTTAAGACACTTGATTATGGTCTTCATAACCCGATTGTCCGACAAGAAAAAACCCCATCACTGCTTTAAACCCCATTTCATTTCATATTGTTGTCGCCCCTGTCCGTCCATGTTTCTGTCCATCTGTTCATTCACATTTTGTTTGTGGACACTTACAGGTCACAATTGTTATCCAATTTTAATGAAACTTAAAATATAGGTGTATCTCCGTAAAATTCATGGATTATGACCCCTAATTGTACGAAAAATCACATTTTAGCTTGTGGACACTCTAAAGGTCACAATTTTTATCTGATTTTGATGAAACTTGAAATGTATGTTTATATCCCAAAGATCTTGGTTCCTTTTCGATATTCTTGCATATCAGACTGTAACTTCCTGGATTATGGCCCCTAAATTGTACGAAAAATAAAGTTTTTAGCTTGTGCACCCTCTAGAAGTCACAATTGGTATTCAATTTTGAAAACCGTTTAAATATATCACCGTTACACCTTATAAAAATCTGACTGAAAATGCCGGACAAAATGGCCGCTCCTTGTATGCAAATAGTCTTAAAGTATGTAATACCAAGGTTGTGCACCCTCTAGAAGTCACAATTTTTTATTTGATTTTTATGGAACTTGTACAAGAAATCACATTTTTTAGCTTGTGGAACCTCTAGAGGTCACAATTCTTATCTGATTTAAAAAAAACTGTTTAGATATATCACCGTTACACACTAATGTTGGTTGAGTTCAAATCTCGTGAAAATCGGACCAAAACTGCTTGACAAAATGACTGCTACTTATACGCAAATAGTGTAAAAGTATGTAAAACCAAGATTGTGGACCCTCTAGAAGTTACAGTTTTTATCCAATCTTGATGAACAATTACAGTATTACAGTTTTGTTTAGCTTGTTCTCAGTCCATCTCTTGCAAAATGTGGGCGCAATTTGCCTGGCAACCGCTGGTTTTGAAAGTTTTTACTTAGCACCTACATAGATTTACCTTGTGAGTTTTCTCTGGGTCCTCTGGTTTCCACCCACTGCTAAAGACCCCAAAGCGCAAGCGAATTATTGAAATAAAATTTAACCATGTTTGTCCCGAAATGACCTCGTTTGTGTCGAGTGGACATTAAATCCCCTCTCTCCTTTACAAACTTGGGCTGTTTATAATTAATGCATATATGATTGCTTTTTTGCCCTGGCAATTCAATATATTACTAAACTAAATTTTAAATGTACTCTAAAGCAATTCATGACTATTTATTTATTTTTTATATTGTAGATACCCATACTATATGTTCAGCAGTTCTAATATAGAAATTAATCTTTTAACCTGGTTAAGATATACTTTATGGATACCTTTATATCCACTTGGTTTTCTTATGGAAGGTAAAGTGTTCTTTTTGTTCAGATGGTAAATCATTTAATTTCAAATGTGTAAAAATACCTCTAAATCCCCATGCCCTTCTGTCTATTTAGACTGGAGTTGATCCTTATAGTTCATGTAAATGAACATACACAAAAGTAAAATAGCCAGCAAAATTTCAAGAATATAGTGCAGAAGTGTCAGAAATAAAGACATAAGTATACAAAAATATGGTCTACCTTTAACATGAACTGTATGTCAGAAACAGTAGGTGGGAGAGGCACACATACGAATTATACATCACATATTTAACATAACAAACCAAAACTGGTTGCAATACATATCAATCTTGAATGACACATGAATAGAAATGCTATGATAAAAACAATTCAGCTTTTTAAGATTAATCCTGATAGTAACAAAAATGATGCCACAGGGAAAGTTTTTGAATTCAAATGGATGCTAATTTATTATTACCTTTTTGTATGTTAGAAATTTATGAACATGGCACAGTGTTTCTTTACTTGTCCTGATCTCTCTTGTAATGGCATATCAAACTTTTTTTCTATAGGGACAGTAGTTATTATGAGTATACCATTATTTGAACAAAGTAATAAGTTCAGTATTATGTATCCTGGTAGTGACAGATATATCCTCTATTTCCCGTGGTTTTTACATGCATATTTAGTTCTCTTAGCTCTAGGTATGTATATCATATAAATATTAGTTTTCATACATTTATTTGGTTGATGTTCATCAGACAAACAAGCATATTGATTTTCAAAGATTTATGATATTGTTGTTAGAATTTTATGGACTTGCTATAGGCTATGTTCATAAGACAAAGAACCTTAAAGCTGATGTTGTCTTCTGATTACCAGTAAATGTTAGCACTAGTAAGAACTAGAAGCCAAGCAAATTTTAACTATTTTTGTCCCCCGCTTTTCGAAGAAAGCAGGGGACTATTAAAATGGGTTCGTCTGTCTGTCCGTCTGTCTTACAGTCACACTTTTTGGGACACAATAACTCACTTTCTAATTGAGCTAGAATGTTCAAACTTGGTGTAGATGTTTATTAGGTCAATGCCTTGATGGAGTTCGAAGATGAGTATTTTCTGCTTAGGGTAAGCAGAGATAAGCAATTTGATTGGTTGATGCTTTGGGACGTGATAACTTTAGTTCTAATTAAGTGGGGGGGTTGGATGGCTGAATGGTTAGCGTGTGCGCGCTGTATCATAAAGTCTGTCATTGAGTTGACTGGCGTGGTTTCGAATCCCCGGTTGTACGTGACAAGGAGTAGGGGTGCCTGTCCAACCTCGTGGGTTTTCTCTGGGTCCTCCGGTTTCCTCCCACTGCTAAAGACCCCTATGGGCAAGCGAATTATTGAAATAAAATTAAACCATATGTTAGTCCCGAAATGACCTAGTTTGTGTCGAGTGGACGTTAAACCCCATTTCTATCTCTCTCTCTCTAAGTGAGAGTGATGAAATTCGGTGTATAGTTTTATTACATCAATACCTTGACTAAATTCAATAATGCCTTGATGGAGTTAGTAGATGAGAATTTTCCACTTAGGGTAAGCGGAACACAATAACTCTCCTTCTAATTGAGGTAGAATGTTTAAACTTGGTGTAGGCGTTCATAAGGTGATTACCTTGATAGAGTTTGATGATGAACATTGTCTGATTTTGATGAGAGCGATGAAACTCTGAATATAGATACATTATATCATTAACTTGACTAAGTTCAATGGTGAGAATTTTCTGCTTAGGCTAAGGAGCGATAAGCAATTTGATAGGTGAAGACTTTCGGACATAACAACTCTGCTTTTAATTGAGGTAGAATGTTTAAACTTGATGTAGATGTTCATTAGGTAAATGTCTTGACTGAGTTCAATGATTAACATTTTGAGCTGAAGCTAAGCGGAGCTAAGCAATTTCTTTGGTCGATGCTTTGGGACAAGATAACTTTGATTCTATCTGATAGAGAGTGATGAAACTTATTGTATAGTTGATAATCAGTTTAATTGCTTGATACTTTTGAAAAAAATAAATGTGCTATTAATTAATATGTGTCATATATTTATTTTGGGATTTCGGCGGGGGACATCAGCCTCACTGTTGGCTTGTTTAACCTTGTGAATGCTTATATTATTGTTCGATCTGTATGGAATTTACATGCATAATTTAAATTAGTAAAGAAAAGAAGCCTATCGAATCTCAGCAAATGACTTAAGTTATCATTCGATCTGTATTGAATTTACACGCATAATTTAAATTAGTAAAACAAAGAAGTCTATCGAGTCTCAGCAATTTTTGTTAATTACTTCTAGAGTTATGGCCCTTATTTCACTTTGTTGAACCCCTTGTGAACGCTTCAAGCACTAATGACAAAAGTTATCATCTGCTCTGTATTAAGTTTAAATGCATTATTGATATTAGTAAAACAAAGAAGCCTATTAAATTTAAGCAATTTCTGTTAGTAACTTCTACAGTTATGGCCCTTGTTGATCACTTTGTTGAACCTTGTGAACATTCGATCTGTATGAAATTAATATCAGTGTCTTGTAAATGCTCCAATTACCTGCTCGGAGGATTTAGCTGCTATGTGTGTATGTTTCGTTGCTTGGCAACCTATCTTTAGTTTCATGTAAATGTTCTCATTACTGACAATAGAATAAATATGCAACAACTTTAGTGGACTACTCAGACAGCAATTAGCTGTTGTGAACATATGTTTCCCTGCCTGGCAGACAATCTTATTATGTATACATTATTTCTTATTGAAGTTACTGTGTTTTGAAATTAAGATATTGTTATTTTAGCTGCCTACAAAATGATGAACTATATGTATATTCAAAGAAAGAAGAAACTTGGTGTTGGATATAAATCGAAAACCAGTGAGAAAAAAAAATCAGCCTAGAAATTTCCATATTTATTCTCCATGTTGTGATTATTGTGATAATTAATTGTGTGATTAAGTTTTCATGACAGTAGCTTTAACTAAATTTGAACATTTATTATCCATTTGAGTTAATGTATGGTACAAACTACATTGTGTCATTTATAAAAGAACATAGAAAACTTGTGTGGTATGTACTAAATTTCATTTGTTGCATTCACAGTCTCACTCAAGTCTGACTGAATTGAAAATAGCCCTCAGGTTTGTTAGATTAAATGGATTAACAACATCTTATTGGTTTGCATGCATTTCCCAACCAAAGACAATTCCAAATTTGGCATTAATAATGATGATATTAATCTTCATTCATGCATAGTCAGTGTATTCTATTTGTGTACTTTTTTATATTATGTCTATTTTTTGCAGATCAGCCAAATATTAATTTTAATATGTGAATTTAACTAAAATTGTATAACAGAACATAACTTTTGGATTTGGATGAATAATGGAAATATTAATTTCATTTTGTTTTTCCTATATGACAAAGCTTTACCTGTCACTAAGAGAAATAACTTCAACTAAATAAAACAGATCAACTAAATACAACACTTCATTTTAACCTAGTTAGGTGCTGATCTACAAATTACAAATGTGGATATCATGTAGAAATTTTAACCATTAAATTCTACATCAAACGAACAAATTTAAGAAATTAGATTTATTGTTTATTGACTTAAGTCTATGGAAAGGGTAATTAAGTGTAGATGCATTATGTAAGAGCTAAATCTGCTTATTGCAGGTCAGGGGTGAGGGAGGGGGGTGGTGGATGGCTGAATGGTTAGCAGGAGTGGACTGTATCATAAGGTCCGTCATTGAGTCAACTGGCGTGGTTTCGATTCCCCGGTTGTACATGACAAGGAGTAGGGTCGCCTGTCCAACCTTGTGGGTTTTCTCCGGGTCCTCCGGTTTCCTCCCACTCCTAAAGACCCCTATGCGCAAGCGAATTATTTAAATTAAATTTAACCATATGTTGGTACCGAAAGGACCTAGTTTTTGTGGAGTGGACATTAAACCCTATTTCTCTGTCTCTCTGTCATTGCTAAGAATAAAGTAATTGAAATGAAATTTGAACTATAATAGCAAGAACAGCCAACTCTATATCTAAATCTTACATAATGCATCTTTAACATTATAAAAGCCTAATTATTTAACCATTGATGTTCAAACTACTTCAAAACTTTCGAAAGTGCAATAGATGAACATATGACCTCAAATTATTAGATATCTTTAAAAAGGATGTAAAAAATAATTTAATATCTTTTTTATATGTGTATATGAATCATACGATGATTTTTCACCAGTCTCTGTGTCAAATATTAGAACTTTTTATGTATACATTTATTGTAACGGGTTGTATTTTTATTCTATAAATATTTAAATGACATCTAGTTAAACACCTGTATACCGGTTACTGCTTTTTTAAAACTTATTTTATTGATATTTTACATTGATATTTTACATTTAAACATTCCAATATTAGAGGTGTTTTAGGGATATTATTGAACAACTGGCAACAAACTGAACCAAACTAAACTGATATCAGATCACAATTTAAAATTTCTATCCAAAATGAATTTTTTGCATAAATTGGTCATTTTATAATTGTCATGTTATATTAGATCAAAATGTATCCTGCATATATAGAAGCCTTATTCTATCTAGGAGTAATATGAATATTTAAATTAAATCCAACATCTAAATTCACAGGATTTGTCATTTGTAATTTAAATGTAATGAAATATGGACAGAAATATGTAGTTTATCAGTAATCTGGTTCTCATCTCCAACTTTGTCGCTTTTGTTCCTTCTGCAATTAATTTGGCTCCAAATAGAAGAGAAAATAAAACAAAGAATCATGTATGAATCAAATCCTAACACCTCTATTCCAGAAGGTGCCATGACATAAATATTAAAAAGACTTTGACTGTCAGGTCAGTTTTGTTTTTGCACGAAGTTTAAAACTTCTGAATAACACACAGGGGTCTGTAGTATTAGAGTTAATAGATCTTGTATTGAAATTTATAAATTTGGCTTTTGTTTATGCTTTTTAAGCTGCTCATAAAAAAAGGGGAGAAGAAACTTTAACTCCTACTTTATGATATGTATATATAACATTCAGATACATTGTTTTATACATTCTATATTTATATTCTGGAAATAAACCGAATATATATTGGTAAATGTAAAGGTGTGGATTGAAATCCATTCTTGAGATTTATTATTATGATTATTAGTAGTAAATAGTATTATAATTATGAGGTTATTATTAATGCATTGATTAGTTCTTATAATATGCCCGCATTGAAATGTAGTAGTATATTGCTGTAACCCCTATCTGTCAGTCCTCAATGCTTCACACCAATTTTGAAAAAAAAAATGCATTAAAAACTGTAGCGGCTATCACATTCACAAGGTTTTTGGCAAATGGGAGATAACTCTGTGTTAGAAGGTGGACTAAGACTAGTAATTATTTCTCCTTATTTCATGATGTAGTGTAAGTTATAAATAGACAATTTTTCCTTTTATCCCCTCTTCCTGCATTTTTGGGTTGACTTTTTGGTCTAGAATTAGAGAAAAGGGATCAAATTTGCAATTTCATAGCAGTTTTGGGTAATACAGTTGATTTTACAGCGACGGGATAGGGGGTTTAGAGTGTCTTTCTGCAGAGCAATCATTGTTTAGGAAGTGAGATTTTCACCCAGTCAACATCAAGTCAGCAAAAAATCTAAACGGTCAACCCCCTACAAAATTATGATGAGGAGATTGCCAAATGGGGTCCCCATTGTGCCTATAAAGATTGGAACCAACGGAATGTTGAGCAGAAAGCTACAGCCTGTCATGTTACAGTCATTTAACATTGAAGTCAATGGGCAAATAATTGCTAGTCTGAGTCCGGGTAGCGGATCCGATTACTGACATAACGCCCGAGTTGATTTGTATAATGACACGCTCGTTTAAAAATTACTCGACAAGTATGCACCGGCAGCTACCAAAACTGTGATAGTTCGGAATAATGCCCCATGGTACACTAATGAAGTACAACAATCAAAACACTTAGGTTGTCAAGCTGAACGTAAATGTCGGAAGACCGGTCTAGAAATCCACCATCAGATCTATTGCCAAGCTGTAAATGATATGCTGAAGCTCGTTTGTAAGACAAAAATTGCAACAACGTTCCTCGTAAAGTTCATAGCTTTTTGAAATCGCTTATTGTACATAAACCGACCCAAAACTTCCGAGCTATGACAGCAATAGCAGTCTTGTATTAGAGATTGATAATACTCAAACATATTTATTTCATGGACAGAAATTGCATAGGTTTAGACCTTTCCACGAGAATGAAGTCAACGATATCATCAAGTCATCAAAACCTAGTACATGTTTGTCAGATCCGATTCCGAGATGTTTAGTTTTCCAACTTCTTGACTCACTATTACCATTCTTATTCAAATGATCAACAACAGTTTAGCTAGTGTAGTTTTTCCTGACAATTTCAAATCGGTTGTGGTACATCACTCCTCAAAAAGGATAACCTGGAAAATATCCTGGAAAACTGTCACCCGTCTATCAGATTCTTGAAAAGGCAATCAAAATTTGTCTAAATGAACATCTTGCTGCTAATTCTTTGTTGGACATATCAATTGGCATGCCGGCAACGCCATAGCACAGACACAACTTTGCTCAGGGCTGTGAATGACCTGCTTTGTGCTGTAGACTGTGGGAATGTTGCTTCCCTTGTGATGCGATGCTTGATTTATTTGCATCCTTTGAGGCCATAGGATAGGCCACAGTGATCTACCGGAGAATCTTTCTATCCACTGTGGTATTAGTGATAACCCTCTTGGGGGTATCTTTATGTCCACACTCGGTCAGTTCTAAGTGTAGAGAACTATCGGAAAGATTATCTTAATCTGTGGAGTACTACAAGGATCTGTATTAGGCCCGGTACCAGCCAACTCTCAGATATAATCTACATGACCTTTTACATCACTCGTATGCGGATGACACTCAGTTTATTGACTAATTTTCACCAGTTCATTACGCTGATTCCTTCTAAACAAGCCAAGTCGTGGATGACATCACACACGCCTAAATTGAACGACAAGACAGGCGCTCTACTTGTGGGTACAAATAAAAATCTGCCAAAACTTGAATCAACAATGGTGACGATTGTTAACTCTGATATTCAAACACAGACCAATATCAAAAATATTGAGGTTTGGTTGGATTCACCCTTAACGAAACACATGTCAGTTTCCTATGCAAAAAGTGTTACTTTCATCTGCGAGGCATTGGAAATATCCGACACCCCCTGACGAAGGAGACCGCACATACTATGGGTGAATTCGGGCGGTCCAACTCGAGGCACTTGAGTCGACTCGATTTCGTTCGCGCGTCCCGAGTTTCGGTGATGTCGGGTCATGTGACCAACTCGAGTGACCTACACGAATACTCCCCATTCCACGAGGAGCATGTCGAATCGAGTCGAATCGGAACACGTGATCTTCTGAATGAAATGGCGGCGAACGAAATTTGTTTTAAATGTGAAGCCTGTGAGCTTATCACAGACACGCTAGATGAAATCCAGAACCACAGCTGTAAAGCTCCAATAAATGGTAATGAAAAAGCGAGTAAGGCACCAGTGCAGAGTACAAGTGGGATAGAACAGCATTTTTGGAGCGAGTCGGCAACTAAAGCCCTTCATAAGGCGCATGACCTTTTAACCCGAAAATACGACATTTTTACCCGACACCACGACATTACAAATGTCGTAATGTCGCGTAAAAATGTCGTTGTCCTGTTGAAATGTGATGTCGGCCATCTTCCTCTCAATATACAGTTTGATTATGTACACTGATCCTAGTGTTGGTCAAGAAAGTTCCCCGAGATTTTGCAGCGTGGTTTCGGACTATTGAAGATAGGCATAGGCCTGCCCTACGCAGAGTGCTATGACGGAAATTCTCTATGGACAATGGCATTTCCATCCCAAACTTAGCTAGCTCCGTCTGAGAACAGGCCCAAAGCTAATTACCCGACATTTTAATTCCTACATCGGCGGTTTTAGTCGAAAACACTGAGTATGCTTTTAGTAATTTTAAGAAGTATTTATTTCTCTTCTATTGTCATATTGAATGAAAGTAAATATGTTTATTTAGGCGCTATGCGTATGAAAGATGTCAAACTAATCAAAGCCGAATCACAAAATAGTCCTCTAATTATTCAAAATGGCGGCGCCCATAAAAGGTAATTTCAAAGAGGTGGTTTTGTTTGCGAAGACAAATTTAGGAGTATCTAACCTTGTTATGAAAGATAAACAGATTGAAACTCTAAAGACAGTTTACAATGTAAATTTTACGATGAGTTTGATGAAGTGTTCGGTACCTCTGACAGTGCAAAACCCCTGTTTACTTTGGCGAATGAAAAGCGAGAACCCCCAGCCCCCAAAAAGTTCAAGTGTATGGCTAAGAATCAGGGTAAAAATAATGCAGATACAGAGGACGCCGATACCAGTATTGAACTAGAGAAGGATGATGAGGGTGAAGATGTTCCAGGGCGAAAAAAGCGGATTAGAGGCCAACCCACTGCTGTTCTGAAATGGCTTTCCAATTACCAAGAAGATCAAAAAGAGCAATTCAAACAACGGGAAGACCGAGCTGAAAAACAACATCAGGATAAGTTGGAGCGATTTGATAAGCTCCTCTCACTTTTTGGCAATAAGGATAAGGAATGAACACAATTTGTTGCGATATTCGTCGTACACGTAAAACGATACATAACAAAAACTATAACTGTTTTATTCATATTTTATTTAATGGTCATATGTTCAAAGATTCGTTGAAAAACACTGTATAATTCTTTTATCCATATTTTAATGTACATAATTATCATGTTCAAAGATACGTTGAGAACATTGTATAATTGTTTTATTAATATTTTAATTTTCATAATTATCATGTTCAAAGATTTGTTGAAAAACATTGTTCATGTCAGTTGAACAGTGAGTCGTTGACGGTGTTTCTGAATTAGTTGATGTTCCAGTTAGGCCACATAATTGTATTTCGTATCTTAGTGCGTGGATGAAAAATTCACATTTTTGCTAGTTTAGCTTTTTTTATTCAATGTATATTTTATTGTAATATCGGATTTATTACAAAAGTTAAAAAATAAATGTTTTAAATAAATTCCAAACAAGTTTATTGTGAAGCTCTTTATAAGGCCTGTATTTTCGGAGCAAATTTCAATACAGGATCAACGATTTACGATGGCGACTAAACGGTTTCTCTTCTGATATCCAGCAGCCGCATTGATGAGGACGTTTGGTTGGTGTCCTGGTTCATCACCCAGTACTTCTAAATCGATGTATTGATCTAGGTCATCATGAGCCAACACACACATATTGTGGAGTACACAAGCCGAAATGATGAATTCACAGATATGTTGCATCAGCCTGCTCCTATCTCCACACTGATCTGTGAATGGAATGTCTCGGAGTTTTCTAAATCGCCCTTTAAGGTGGCCGATTGCCCTTTCAACCACTTGTCGATCACTAGAGAGATTGTAGTTGAAATTTCTCTGATGGGGTGTCAACTGTCCATTGTCCTTGAATGGGGGTATTAGCCAGTTTTTCACAGGGTAAGCGGAGTCACCGAGCAAGTGGTCATCATCTTCGAAGATGCGATGGTCCTCCGCCTTTTCATAAATGGGACTATTCCGAAGAACACGGGCATCATGTGCTGACCCTGGATAACCGACAAAAACATCATTAATCATTAACATATCATCAACCACAACTTGTAACGCTACTGAGCAGAATTTTTTTCGGTTCAAGTAAGACCGGTCATTGCCAACTGGGTTCGTTATTCTTATATGTGTTCCATCGATAACACCAATGACGCCAGGTATTTTCGTAAATTTTCCTTTTATCTCTCTTCTCCTTTGATTATTCGGCCATTGAATAAACTTATATGATAAAGCTGATATAACTCCTGCTACGTGATGAACAATACTATGCACAGTAGATTTTGACAACTTAAAGTTGAAGGCTATATTTCTCATGCTGCATTGGTTGCTCAAATACCACACAAACACGAGTAGTTGCTTCTTAGGCGGAACTGAATCATAACCTCCACCAACGTAAATAACATCTGGTACCAGATATGCTTCTACTTCTCCCAAAAGTAGCATGAATGTTTCTTTATTTAGTCGGCAATGATACCTAAAATCTTCTTCATTCAAATTAATCACAAGCTCAGTG